AACCAGAATCCATCACTCAATGCACATGGCCAAATCCGTAGCAGCACATCATTTGGGTCATATATAGTTCATCTCAAATACGACAAACTCACAATGAGGATGTTAGCACTGTAGTGACTCATCCAGCAGTGAATGTGCATGTTTGCTTATCACAGATGCTTCTTGATGCGAGCATGAGAGATAGAGAAAAGGAAAAGCAGGCATTCCTCCAGATAACATTCAACTCTTCAACACGACAGGAGAGTCAAGGTAACTATGTTGAGGTAAGATTGGCTTACTCTTTCTCATTTGATATTTTTGTAGCTTTCTCCATCACTCTGTAAGTTCAGTTGCTCTTGTGTCTGATTCAGCTGGCTCAGCTTTATGCATTGTGACACTGACCCAGTTCTACTTAGATCCATTTTACATATGCAAATGACTACAATGCTAATTAGAATCAAATTATTATATTAAAAGAAAACAGTATGACACTTTTCTAGCATATGAATGATTATGAAATGTATATTCTAACATAAAAAACAAGATTTCTAATATATATATACAGAATGACTATTTTCAATTTACTATAATCCTATTTCCACAGTATTTCAATGAATACTATGGTACATAATCAAAAAAATACCACAATTTCATGGCATGCCATGGTACTGAATTGTTATCATATCGTTATCCTTAATAGGGTTACTCCAAAGAATATTATGGTACAAATAAAAGCAATATCACACCATGCTATTGAATTATTATCATAACAATGTACCATGATTGTTTCTCAAACATAATAAATGGCAGCAACTCCTTCAAAGGACAATAGTATATATATATATATATATATATATATATATTAAATAAAACAATATTTTCAATCTCAGCCAAGGTAACAACAATCAGTCTTCTTATGAATTTGAATGAATACCACTAAAGACCATCATACAATAGCAGATGATTGCAACCACATACTTTCTCTCTAAATAATAACATGCATTTTCCCGGAATATAATATAATACTAATTATATGCTAAAGCATCAGCATAAATTACACAATCGCTTCAGTGTGTTCTGCCTGTTTGATGCTCTTCATAATACATTAAAAATTTTAACCAATTGTTAGCAACTTTTGCATTATTTTACTGTAGAAGACCCCATGTGGTGTAAATCATTAAAAATAAGAGACGTTTTTAATGTTGTTTATATGTCTGTGTGCCGTTTTTAAGATATTTTAAGATAAACCATGTGGAAATTCATAAGTCAACACCATTGCAGACTATTTTCTCCTTAAAACTGCAGTGTATTAAAGACAATGGGTCTCATTCATGAAACACGAGCAGAACGAATTTGTGTGTAAATCGTGTGTAAAGTGGTTTTGGCATAAATTTTCGGATTCATTAAAATGTTCGTGTTTTCCAAATGTTAGTTGGTACGCAAGAAATCTACACCTGCTCCCAGGTCCCGGCCACGCGTAAATGGTGCGCTTAACATCCGAACGTTTTGCTCGTTAATAAGGCTGCATTTTAATTCACCTTAATCGGGTACATATTTAAAGAGCATTTTGAAAAAATATTATATAGTAATTACATACGTTTTTTCTTTTTACTTTTATTATGAGAGCCAGTAATAGCAGATCTGGTGATCGATGGCGGTCCTTCTCCAGTTTGAATACGATTTTTCCGAAGTGAACTAATTCGTTTTTTGCTGTCAAACTTAATGCCGAACCATTTTCTTCTCACTTCTGGGACTGTTCGATTGACAGATGAAACTCCATTAACTGCATCTGTAATATGCTGCCAAGGACCTGATAGGCCTCTATGTACGCTTGAAAATAAAATGTGGCGTTTTGAATGAATTCTGATAATAAAACTTCAATTTCTGCAGCCGAGAAATCTTTCTTTTTCATTCGCATTCACGTTAGTATATGCCTATATATATAGATGTCAGTTGGATATAATGGGAGCGATTTATGGTAATTGAGAATGAACGTGCACACGCATCCCATTTACAACTGATTGGAATTCATTAACACACACATTTCACTATCAAATCTGACGTTTACGAAGTATTTGTGAATCAGGAGAAGAGTTTTCAGGAAGGTCTCTTTACGCGCAAATCACTCTCATATTTACTCGTATATTTACAATTTTTTTATGAATGAGACCCAATGAATGTATAAAACGTTCCTGTTTCCTGTCGTCACAAACATGCAACCAATCCTGTCAAAGTGGGGGTGGGGCATTTCCACAGTGAGTACAAGTACAATTTTAAAGGGTTAGTTCACCCAAAAATGAAAATTCTGTCAGTATTTACTCACCCTCATGTTGTTCCAACCCCGTAAGACCTTCGTTCATCTTCGGAACACAAATTAAGATATTTAAGATATTAAGATCGCTCCTGCATACAGTCCATAGGCTTCTTGAGGGACTGGCTCTTGCTGTCCCCGAAAAGTCATTAAAGACATCGTTAAAATAGTCCAAGTGACTACAGGGGCTCAATCTTAAGTTTATCAAACGACGAGAACACTTTTGTGCGCAAAAAAACAACAAAAATAACGAATTTATTTCAACTATTCACTTCCTTCTCCATGAGCCTGTAAGTCAGTTAACGTAGTGTGATTGCGTAGAGCTACGTCACACGTAGGCTCACTATTGGCCGACGCTGGTCATGTGTGTGTGATGCGTGTGACGTACAATAACAGAAGCTTACGCTATTAAACTAGTAACCTGACTCGCGCAGAGGGAGAAATAAACGAATAGTTGAAATAAAGTCGTTATTTTTGTTGGTTTTTTGCGCACAAAAGTGTTCTTGTCGTTTGATAAACTTAAGATTGAGCCCCTGTAGTCACTTGGACTATTTTAACGATGTCTTTAATGACTTTTCGAGGACAGCAAGAGCCAGTCCCTCAAGAAGCCTATGGACTGTATGCAGGAGCGATCTTAATATCTTAAATATCTTAATTTGTGTTCCGAAGATGAACGAAGGTCTTACGGGGTTGGAACAACATGAGGGTGAGTAAATACTGACAGAATTTTCATTTTTGGGTGAACTAACCCTTTAAGAATGGACAGGAAAAATCGGGTGCATATAACAATATAGTCGCTGAATTATGCATATTACCATGTTATGACAAATTATGTGCCTTTCTCCACTGACTTTATGTGATGTTCAAAGCATTTCCAAGGAAGCTGAGTTTCAGAAGACAGCTGTCTGACTCTGAGATGACGACCGGTAACATGGTTTGTGTAACAATACACACATTATTAGCTGTTTGATAAAGGCTAATCACATGAATTAACGTTTACTACAGTAGAGCGAGTGGATCCGAACTGGTATGGAGACGGGGCTAATTTGCATATTCATAAACCTTCAGGTTTACTAAATGAAGCAAGGGTGTAGAGCTACATTTAAGCTATTTTAAGACATGAAGAATTTATTTTCACATGTAAAATTCTATTAAAAACTATTTTCACATTAAATATGTCATTTTGATTATCAAGTCAATGGATACAATGAACTGCAGGGGGACTTGAAGAACCTTTACTGACAATTTTTCAGCAAATACAAATCTTGTTAAATCAAAATGGCAAATCTAGATAAGGTTCATCATATCTCATTGGGTTTTGGGTACACACCTGGTGCATTCTGGGAACATTCAACGCTGTCGGTGAGTTTGGATGCATAAGAAACCATCGACCGTTGGCTGTGCCCTGAGATTACCACATACTACACACGCCAACACTCTCTCCTAGCAAACAAACCGGCACTTTCCTCATTATTACGGCTGCGATATACATTCATTGATGTCGTTGGGTTTAACATGCGAGCGACTCACTGACCAATGAGTGCAAACTGCAGGAGGAACACTGAAACAACGTCTGGTAAGGCATTTCAGGCATTCATGACCTTCAGGCCTAAATACCAACCCTTGCAGACAAAATAGTGACCTACAGATGTCAAATTAGCTGAGAAAACAGCAAATACCTCTCAAACCTTCACTTGAACAAGCACAGGATGGTGTAAAATGTAAGGTAAGCAATGATGCACTTTTGCATCACGGCTCTGAATGGAAACAACACTGAACAAAATTGAGCTGAATAATGTCTATCTTCTGTAGAGCTTCTTTACAGCTGAAATTGAACTTGTTTGATAATTTTTAAAAAAAGGATTTGACAATTAATTTTTTACATAAATATTTTAATTTGTATTATTGTGAAGCTGCTTTGAAACGATCTGTATTGTATAAAGAGCTATATAAATAAATGTGTCTTGACTTAGAACACTTAACCATAGCATTTAGTGCTCAAAAAGTTACATAGAATGCCACTAAATTTTATGACTATTGCGTAAAATCATAACATTGGAAATTATTACATTTAATATTAAATTTAGAATACTGTAAAATTAGAAATATTCCAATTAATCACCAAAATACTTTCAGCCAATTGGAGGCCTAATTCCTGCTTGTTTACACATTGCGTCTCATTGCTGACCTAACTTTGACTTCACAGACACAGGGAGTGAAGGTGATGTCACCAGTGTGTGTGTGTGTGTGTGCTTTTGAAGAGCTCTTCCGATGCTTTACAGCTTAATTGGTTTCTCACATAAATCAGCTGCTTTCTCTAACAATGTTCGACACTGACTTGTGCAGCTTTACAACAGCATGCATGCATGCATCACAGAAAGACTTGCTGGCAATATAAGAAGCCCCTGAACTAATCCTGACCTCTAAAAAGTCCACTTTTACCAGAGCTTTGGAGAACTTGGGAGAAAGAAAGAGCTCTGTGATAGACTCTACTGGTGAAGATGAGAACTGCAGTCGCATTTTACTCTAGATGTTTGTTTGTTTGCTTGATTTTTTATTCCAGAATGCAGAACTACAACTCTTAAATGGCTCTATAAAATCCTCACCCTATGATGTTCATGATTCATGGACTGAAAATGTTTGAGACACAAAGCACAGGAATGAGTGTGCGATATAGCCAGTGGATGGCAGCGTGGAGATCATTCCTCACCTGTGTCATCTTGGAGGGAGTTCTCTTCATAAAAACCTGCAGATGAGGGAAAGAGTGAGAGAATATGAGGGGAAGAGAAAACACTGCTTTTAGAATAATGTTAATGAGCTACTTTATTCCTTTTCAACAAATAGGGTCTCTGTATAAGTGTGTTCTTTTACTTCCACATCTATAGAGTGAAACAGCAACTTTGTCAGTAGCGTTGGTTCCGGAAGTTTCTTTCCACATTCACTTCTTCCATAGGGATTTCAAAAAAGTCTAAGCATTTTAAGCCATGAACCAAATCAACCAGCTGAGGTGAATCACAACACCATTCAAACTGAAGCAAAAAAAAAAAAAAAAAAAAATGAAAATTGAAAATCAGCCAAAAATAAAGCCATAAATGTATGTGAAATAAAGACGGTGTACTAAACTTTAGTGATGGAAAGGACAACAATCCCATAAAGCATTGTGAACAGCATAATCGAATTAAAAACAATGAAAAATATAAAAGTGCTCATTTAAAATGTAGATATATAAACAATTTATTTTAAGTTTATTGCAATATGGATAATCAAAAAAGTAAGTATTTTGAGAGTGCACTGTAAAAATTAATATGCTTTATCTATTCAAAAAAAAATTTGTGGCAACAGATTACAAGCAATATTATTAAGTAAATTTAACAAATTAGAGTTGAGTAATAATTAATCAGATTAATTCCTTAAAAGTTAACCATTTAAAATGAGTAAAACTTACAGCAACAACAACCAAAAAAACATAAATTGAGGTCACCATTATGGTGATCGGTGTTTGATTTAAAATGGTTTTCTCCTTCAGTGATTCTGCTTGTTAACATCAGGTGTCTTCAATGTTGGCAATATAAAATAAAGATAATATAAAATAATTAATCTTTAACGTCTGTCTGTTATTCAGATTGTTTATTTTTTTGGTGTAAACTTTACTCATTTTAAATGGTTAATTTGATTGTTACTCAAATCTAATTTGTTCAATTTAATTACTAATATTGCTTGTAATCTGTTGCCACAATTCTCTTGATTAGATAAAGCGTATTCATTTTTACAGTGTGTAGCCTATAGGGAGACACTATTACATCATTCGCAGTGGTTGGCGTGTTTAACAAGACCCTTTGGTGCGTTTTTTGCTTGCTTCGACTCTCTTGATTGGTGGAATTTTTGGACAGCATCATGGGAAATGATGTTTATAGTTTTTAACACAGAATTGTAAATAAGTGAAGTATTCAATTTTAGATGCAGACTATCATAAGAGACAAAAACATTACAAGGGTAAATTGACTTTTAAAAAAGTATCTTTAATAAAATGGAGTAAATGACAGAATTTTCATTAAAATATTCCTTTAAATATGCTTGCAGGAATTTCTGCCATTATAACCATCTTTTTCATGCTGTAAAGATTGTTCAAATGTTCTGTGATGGACACACTTAAGTTCATCTTACCACACAGAACATCAAGACAACTTTATAACAATGCCTCTTCTCATTCCTAAAACAACACTTTCTCTATCTATCTTTCTCTCATACACACACCCATCTGCCCAGTCCTCTCACTTCTGTCCCTCAGGACACGACCTTCGCGACCTCTTCAGAAACCGCCACGTGTGTGTGTGTATGAGTGTGATCTCTTCGGCTCGCTGGCAGCTGCGGATTTTTGATCTGCCACACGCAGGGCATCTCACACACACTCCAGCAATCCATGGCATATGGTGGACCAGAACACACAGGCTCCTTGAAGATAATCCAATATCTATGATGGCTGTAGGCCGTTGGTATTGAGCTACAGGAGCAAATACTTACCGTCTGCCTTCTAGGCCCCCCCCCCCCCCCACCCCCACACACACACACTTCGTCAAAATATCAAACCATGTGGCTTTCGCATGATCCACTAAAGTTTGACAACCAGAAATTACACATTACAATCTATTGGTTTATTGTTAAAATACATTCGTGAGATTTGTTTATATATTTTAAAATAAGAAATCATAAAATATCTATAATATAAGAATTAAACATATTTAGTACTTGATTCAATGAATTAAATTGGATGCAATTAAATTCATACATTTTTGTGTCATTTTAAAATTGACAAATAATTTTTGTGGCTTTGAATATATTTCGAAAATGACATTTTATTGACTTGACTATTTTTTTTTAAATAAATAAATATTTATATTAATATCAATAATTGTATATTTAATATAAAAAATAAAAAATAGATATGCTGATATCAACACAAATGAATGTGTATTTTATCTAAAACAAGAATTTCATGATAGCAAATGAAAATGTTTTAAAAAAAAAAATAACTATATCAATATAAATAAATGTTTATTTTTATTCACATTTTAAATGACAATTGAATATTAATAAATGTTTTGATAAATACATGTATTGATATCAATATAAATAAATGTGTACTCATGCATTTAAGAATTTTATGATAGCAAATGGAAATATCTTAATAAATGATAATACATAATATGAATATTAATATAAAAAAATGTCTTTATTTACAATTTAATGATAGCAACGGACATTTTTTTATTCAATCACTTGAATTACATTGACCGATTATGTCGTAAATTGGATTTCAGGCGAATCAATTAAAAAGGCTGCTAGTTAAGAACTGCATTTTTACATTTTCAAAAAACATCTCTTAGTATGATTTAAAAATAAATCTTTGACATTTTGTCCTCATAACGTATGGATTTACCAGGACACACACATAGACATGCAGCAATATACACACAGGTATAGAGACACACACACTCACACACAGAGACACACACACCCCACCCCCAGCCTTCAGAAGAAAAGGATGAGGCTGCCCAGATGTCTTCTGTTCCACTTGGCTGATGGAAGCAAAGAGGGATCGGGAGGGGAGGTATACAGATGTAGTAGTGATATGTAACCTGAATATCCATTTATTTTCCATTTTCCAGGGCTTCATCATTCAGATCCAAGGACATGAAATCCCAGTCAACCCCCCGCGCCTCTACTCATCACAATGTGTGTGTGCGCATGGCCATGTGTGGTAATCCACACTCAAAAAATACCTAAGCCGAAATTTAAGGTTCATTTTTGAATTAGGCTACATTCAAAATTTCCACCCATTTGGATAAAGCATTTTTAACATAAACAAACTTTTGAAAATAATGTGTGGCATTTGTCAATAACGCGAAACAGGTAAGATTATAGGGTGTGTTTACACTCTAAAAAATGCTGGGTTATTTTTACCCAATTTTGGGTAAAATATGGACAATCCCAGCCATTGGGTTAAAAATGTAATTTAAAAATGTAACCCATGGCTGGGTTTGTCCATATTTTACCCAAAATTGGGTTAAAACAACCCAGCATTTTTTAGAGTGTACACGACAACGATGTACTAAAAACGAAAAAGGTTTCCAAATGGCGTTTTCCACGTACAGATGAAAACATTGTAAAAACGATCATCAAAAATGACTAAAATGCTGTACTATTCATGCCAGGCAAGTAGTTGCCAGTTTCACTATGCAAAGAAAGAAACACTATAGCCTGTGGCCTACAGCGACATGCACTGACTGTAGTGGTCATGTTAAAACTGTAGGCTTAAGTATTTTATAATGAGAAAAATAGTATAATAATTGTTTTCTTTCTTACTTTTACCATTTCATTGTTAAGATCTTGTAATTAAATGTTTTCAGCTGTTCATCAATATGTTTTTCGAATATACTTGTAATACTCATATATTAATAATTAGTGGTTAGGCTCACTACTATAGCTTATGGGTTGACCTAGTGATTAAAAAAAAAAAAAAACCTTAAAGGGTTTGTTCAGCCAAAAACGAAAATTCTTTCATTGATTGATTAACATTTTGAAGTGTAACAGTTGCATATGGCTGTCTTTGATGGGACAGAAAGCTCTCAGATTTTATCAAAACTCACCACACACATCCATGAAGAACCTTAAACAGTCATGGAACCTTTATATTCAACAAAAGGTTCTTTATGGAAAATGGTTCATTAGATTTAAAGAAAAAAAAAAGAAGAAAAAACATGGTTCTTATGGCATGTGCAAGCCCCCTTGAAGAACCTTTATATATTGTATTTTACATGCGTTTTAAAAGAGATTAAAAATAAGAAACGATTCAAACTACGAAAAAGAAGAGAAAATATTACGCTGAACACCTTTTTAGGATGTTTATGTTACGTTATCTAATAAAATTCAACCTAAAATGCAGAAAACCGATACAACGTTAAAACGCAATAGTTTGTTTTTTTTTTTGGTTTGAAAATCGCACATAATATTGAAAAATTAATGAAAACAAAAACTCTCATGGGACAGAATGAAACTACCTGTTCGGTCAAAGTTTCTATGGCAACAAGGGGGTCGAAACAAGAGGTCATGGAATGGCCAGCGCAAAGGGGGGGTTTTATGATCCCTGTGTGGGTGGGTGGACAGGAAGTTTATCTTCTATGTGTTTATGATGCGTGTTTGTGTGTTTGTTTATTTGTGGGGGAAGGGGTCTCAACCTTAAAGACTAAATCGCAAATCACACACAATGCATGCATGCACATAGGGTTTCCATGTTTTGTGGGGACTCTCCATAGACATAAGGATTTTTATACTGTACAAACTGTCTATGCGTTCCCTTTACACTAACCCTAATGCTAAATCTACCCATCACAGAAAACTCTTTGCATTTTTACAGTTTCGAAAAACATCGCTTAGTATGATTTATAAGCAGTTTTACTCATGGGACTATTATTATCATTGAGGGGATTTTGACCCCATAACATAGTGAATAAATACCCACACACACTCACTTCATTTTTACCTAATTGTGCAAAGGAGGAAATCTGAGCTTGTTTTGTTAACAGCTTGATTTATATAAATCACTAAAAATGAATTACTCTTTTACTCTAATGTCGCATTTAAGACACATACATGTTGGCTTCGCCTTCCTCTCTCTTTTTCCGCTCTATAAGGTCAGTGAGAGGAGAAAGGTCACTCGGAAGTGAAAGGTCAAGGCTGTTGACTGTACAGTTGTATTCTGGTATGTGCAGTGACCAATCCAGTGTTTCTATAGCAACGCTGCTCATCTAGACTTAATGTAACTGTTCAAATTAGGAGTTTGCTGAATAAATTTTATGCGGTGTGTGCACATAGGCCAAACAGATGCTGGAAACGCGGCTGTAAAAGCTGGGAAGTCCTGGAAACCTTTGTGTTTGCTAAAAACAAGCTGGTCATCTTAGAGTGTATGTGCGTTTCTTTCTTAGAATAGTGACAGAATTTTAGACTGAAGGCTTTTCTCTCTTTTCTCTCTGTGCTATTATTAGTGTGAGTACTGTGTCCACAATGATAATTCCTAATAGAAAAAGTACACTTTAAATATCCGGATGATCCGAAAAAAACGATGTATGGAATGTTGTACAGCTTTAATTATGTAGTTGGACTCCCTGTTGAATGACAAAATAACCTTATACAATTCATATACTATATGGATGAGTAAGTTGCGTATAAGTATATACTGTAAATGCATAGTGTATTGTGATTAATTTGGGATGCAATAACAGAAAATTACACAATTATCCCATGCAGTAGTTTGAAAGGTTTGTGATTTCTAAATAACATAGCATAAATGTTACACAATCCATTACAATTAGTGTAGGGGTGGCTTAAAGTCAGCTTAAGGCAACTAATGCTCATAAAAAAGATGTCAAATGATGACTGAAAAAAATTCTAAAAACTAAATGTGTTTTGTGTGGCAATATTTACATTAACTGATTTTAAGTAAGTAAAGAAAATATTATTTAGAATGACTGAAACAACCTGACCACTCAGACGCGAGAGACGCGAAACAAATATAATCTCTTTACTAAAAATAATTTATAAAACATTTTTTTTTAACCCTTAGCCCATAAGACACATTATTCACAAATATTTTTAACAGAATGAATTGCCTTTTTAATTTTTTTTTTTGTTTGTGCCAACAATGGAAACGCCACTGATTAAAAATGTTATACTATAGTTGGTTGTTTGTTGTCATTGACGTGTTTTTGTGGCGCTCGAGGGTGATTCGCTCAAGTTCAAAAGTTCATCTTTTACGATTCCTCGTGGACGTGCATATAAAAAACATTCCTCAGCAGCGCTTTAAAAGACCCCACTGTCCCCAATCCCTCAAACTCGAGCTCTATACGTCCATTCATCACATTTACTCCATATGTTACAAGGGGTAAACCTAAAGATTACGTTAACATTGCTGAAAGTTGCATTGAGAATGCTCTAAAATTCACTCGCTATTTATATTACACCAGTGAAAGATAATTATAGCCAATACTTTGCCTGAATTTTGACCTCATGCATCAGCATTACACATAAGATTCAGAACTGTATTTCAAACACCTTCATTTTCATCTGAGACTCAATAACTGTGCACGGGCACCAGAAACTCACCGCTGCTCAGTAATTTGTCCTGTTTGGAGAAGTGAAATCCGTTGGGTCGGTTCTCCACCTCCATCCTCCTGTAGATGAACTGAGCGAGCGTGTCTCTCCGCGGTCCGCCTGCACTCTCTGAGCTCTGACCTCCGCGAGCCCTCGAAGAACCGCGCGCTCATGTCAAACGCTCGTGACAGCGTGAAAACACCTTGCTCGGGTCACGTGACGACACGCCCCCGTGTCGCCATCTGGGACTTGCAGTTCATAGATAGATAGATAGATAGATAGATAGATAGATAGATAGATAGATAGATAGATAGATAGATAGATAGATAGATAGATAGATAGATAGATAGATAGATAGATAGATAGATAGATAGATAGATAGATAGATAGATAGATAGATAGATAGATAGATAGATAGTTCATTTTATACATATGCTATTTTGCTTTCCTGTTTACAATAACGAACTCTACAGCAATAATATTTTTAGACATTCTGAACACTTATAAAGTTTATAAGGGAAGCGCAGAAGTCAATGGAAGTCGATCCAATGGCGTTTCTGGCTGTTATTCACAGTTTGGCTGTCCTCTGCTGCCGCACAGTGGCCATTTACATCAACACACCTGTAATTGAAGTTTTGAAGACCGTCTGACGTCAAACCAAAAGGACCAGAATAAATGTTTTTTTGAAAGAGTTTGAAATGTACCTTAACACCTTCTCACCCTCAGTAAATAAGAAAGCAATAAAATTACTTTTATTTTTTAATGACTTTAATTTGGTTAGACCTACTCTAAATTGTGTAGGCTATATAATGTCTTGTCCTCTTGACCCTTATTTTATTTATTTATTTATTTACTCTCTCTTCTTTTTTGTTTTAGATAGTTACACTTCTGTTAAGATGACTCTGTACATATTGTTGTCATATTTTGTAGAGATATGTTTGCAATTTTGTAACAGAATTGTATATGATATGATTGTCATCTGTGTTTGTTTGTAAGCATAATAAAAAAATGGAAAGTTTCACATTCATAAGTTTCACACCAATTTTTGTCTTACTCTAATGACTTTTTTATTGTAAAGTTTTACATACTCTAGTGGGGAAAAAAACTACACCAAAATATATTTAAAATACATTTAAATATAACTAATCTAAATATTTAATATATTTTAAATATATATTTGTAAAGAATGAAATTCAACCAGTTTTACTATTCATTGCGTGAAAACTATCACAACTTACACAAATAACAATTCCCAAAGTTGTGTCGTCATTTCCACTACTGTTTTGTCATTTTGACATGCTTTGTTTTATTTATTTGTTTGTTTGTTTATTTATTTATTTTTAACTTGGTTAAGGCAGCAGTGAAGAAACGCAATGTGTCTGTCAAGATAATTAATTGTGAACATTAACAGTCAAATTATGCAACAAACAAACAAAAGCAAAAACACTTTTTAAAACTGTGTGTGGTAGGCTATAGCTAGCTATGAAATTAGCATTAGCAAAACAAAGTCGGAGATTTTTTTAACCGTCGTTTCCACCACAGATTGTTATCAAAAACACGAGAGATGAGTTTGAGAAGCGCCGCGTCCAGCAGGTGGAGGCGTTGAGAGAAAGAGAGAGAGGGAGAGAGAGAGAGAGAGAGAGAGAGAGAGGTAGTGCTGCTGGTGATGATGATGATGATGATGGTGGGTCTGTAGTCCATAGTCGCATCAGCGCACATCTCACACATTCACTCAGTGGAGCTTCATAGTCCGGCGAGATGTGGGGGATTGTGGAGCTCGTGGCTTGTTTACTTATGATGTCTAGTCATGTGTCATCTCTGAACAAGGTAAGAAAGAATTCAACTTAAATGTGTTTTACATTTATGTGCATTCATTGAAAAGATATTATTGCACAACTGTTATTCATGCAAAATATAGCCTAGCCTAAATGTTTTATTTACTAATTGTATTACTAATTTAATTATCAAATTATTATTCTAAAACATGCATATACAGAATATTACTTATTTTGCTCAGTTACAAACAAAAACAGCAATGTATTATAATTTAATTTTATAAATATCAATTTTGATCAAATGGGACTCATGCATGCAGTGTTAACTTTATCAGTTGTAAGTGGAATGGCTTGTTTTTAATCGCAGTGGAGGTAAAAGCAGATTGTATCATGTTTTATTCAGTTCAGTGGGATTTGGTGTTTTTGTATATATAGTTCAAATGATTATTCGCACGGGTGGGCACTTTGAAAGTGCTGGGATTAACCTCTTCAACAGGGCACACACACACTGAGCGCAACGCAAGCGCCACTGGCACGAGTTCAAAGGTCTTGGGTTCATGATTGGAAAAATATCATAACACAGTCTAAATCACAGGTGTTCAATCCTGCTCCTGAAAGATTCTGCTGTGTTGTTCTAATCGAATAGGCTACACCTGCACAGAACATTTGATCGATCAGAGGTTTTTCCATTCATAACTCATTAGCCTTATCGTTCAAATGAAAACAGTTCTTCAGATCACCACACCTCCACCTGGAGAAAACAGTGTCAGTCAGCAGTTCCGAATCCAAACGGTTTAATCTGTTGTTCTAAGACCACAAAAACAAGGGGATCAAACCATTCTAATAATACTTCCGTGACTTGTCTGGTATAGAAAATGTTTGAAGGGCAAAAAATAAGACCTGATTTAATTTGCTTTCAACATTACCCTAAAAAAAGGGTAATATTGGCTCTAATCTTTTGTGCATTTATCAACTTTGTCTCTGATGTTTCTACTGAAATTCCTATGATTTTATGGAGCAACTAAAAGGGTGCATAGACTGATTATTTGCTCTTGGAAGAATTTGATGAGTCCTTATTGAAATCTCTGATATTGGAGTCTATCTTGGCAAAACTGAGTGTACTTTGAGACATTGATATCATTTCTCTAACTCTAGAAGATACTTTTTGTCCTGAGGGGAAACATCTTGGAAGCAAAATACCATTTGCTCTTTATTTCTTTGCTGTTAAACACCCTTTTGGAACTTTTTTTCTTCACATTAATGCCATAGGAGATATATTTAGAACCTTTTTGTCAACAGTTCTTAAAAGAACCTGCATTTTAATCATCTAAAGAACCATTTTCCACTATAAAGAACCCTTAGTCTAATAGAAAGTTTCCATGGAATCATCAATGCCAATAAAGAACCTTTATTTTTAAGAGTGAGAGAAATGTTCAATATGCAGTTTTTCCTAAAGGTGCTTGTTATTTTCAGATAAACCTCAAGACCTTGAGGCACAGGTGTGTTTGATTATAGTTGATCTGAACTCAGGAAGGTCTCCATGAGCAAACCTGAGCATCCTAAATCATAGATTTGAGTAACAAAAGAGTGCAGACATCTTTAATTCCAGCATGCTGCAAGACAGCTGATTTTCTAATCCATCATATAGAATTCCACTATCCTTCCATTATAATCTCCACTTCTCCAAATGTATTTTATGGTGTCTTCAACGTTTTTCACCCCAAACGTTCCCATTGCACCAAATGAGAAGTGTTTACCACTTCATTTGAAGCGTTGTTTGAGCCCTCCAGCTGTGGCGGACAAATGAAAGGCTGATGTGTGCAGCGAAAGTCACTTCAGCTAAAACGGTTGATTTACCATGAATAAAACAACACATGAGAAAACGACACTGAGACGTCACGACGCATCAAGAGCCGCACTTATCACTGGTCATGGCTCACTGGAGAGGAGGACAGGGCCCCTATACTCACTCTTGTAGGATTGTTTTCTTGCTTTATTCCTTGAACTAAATTGTTACTTATGCTGACCATAAAAATGTCAGAAATGTATATATATATATATATATATATGAAGAGTTCAGATGCAAAAGCCTCTAAATGCCATTTGAAATTTTCTTCTAAAATGACCATTTTTATCAAGCTTGTATATTTAAGTTCAGTAATTTCACTTAAATGACAATTAATAGGTAATCTTCATTGCCATTTAAGTGAAATTACTGAACTTAAATATACAAGTTTGATAAAAATGATCATTTTGGAAGAAAATTTCAAATGGCACTTAGAGGCTTTTGCATCTGAACTCTTCATATATTCACATGGAAGCTATGATGCTAATTTGCCATGATGCTAATTTGATGAGAAATGATTTATGCACATCATATTTAAAAAAAAAAAAAAAAAAAAATAGTGCCCTCGTAATGTTTAATCAAAATAACTTCCCTTTTCTTCTTGCAATGGCTTATCTTTTCTGATAATGGGCCCTTTTTTCATGATCTAAGCACATGGTCTAAAGCGCATGGTCTAGACTCTAACGCACACGGCGCTAGTGCACTTAGGGTGTGTCTGGATCCACTTTTGCTAGTTTAACGACAGGAAAATTGGTCGGCGCACCCGGCGCGTGGTCTAAAAGAGTTGTCCCTATTCTCTTAAAGAGTAACTAAACCCTAAACCAACCTTTTTTTAGTTAATGATCTGTAAGAATGGATCTTTATTAATACCAGTCATTGATTCGAGTAACTTTTTTGACATTTGGGTTTAAAGTGTTTTATTTCTACAATATACAACGCATTCTCACCCCAAGGCGTCACCTTTGACCATGCTTCAATATTTGACGTTTTAGGCGCCCTTTAGCGTCACTTACATGACGCGATCCTACGGCGTCATCTAACTGACGCTAAAGGAAAGCGTCAGTTAGAGGACGCGGTTAGGTTTAGGTGTGGGGTGGGGGTAGGGTACACGCAATCCTAGGGCGTCATCTAACTGACGCTAAAGGGCGCCTAAAGCGTCAGATATTGAAGCATGTCCAAATGCTTCCCAAGGCGTCAGTTAAGTGACGCCTTGGGGGTGAGAATGGGCTGCAATATATGGTGTAAAAATGTCTTAGTGCTGCCCTCTTCAGGTTGAATGGTGGCTACTGCAGTTGAATTTTCCTACTGGATGTTAGCGGTTGTTCGTGACGTACGCACGTTTCAGCTCACCACGCTCTTGGCACAAGCTACTCCCTTGGCAGTATAAAAACCAGCTTGTTTCATCAAAACCACTGTAGCGAGTCAGGAGTTTGCAGAGTTGCGAGTATTGAAAACGATCAGGATAGAGTGTTTTATCATCTGTTTCATCCCCTCTATCTCCGACCACTTTTTCAGCATTTTTCAAATATTGCCAGTGGGTGGAGTCAGGCTCTGACCA